CAGGATGGATGAGGACCCATATTTATCTTGTCACCTCACACAGTGAGGTGTGAGGTGATGCTAAGGGAGGTAAAACATCTCCAGGATGTTGATGGCATCCTGCGCTTACCAAATCTCCAAAACAAAGCTATCTGCACACCAGCATGTTTGTTTCTGTCCTACCATCACAGTGTAAACATGTTGATCTTCATAACTCTATTGCAACTGGTCAGATGAGACTAAGACTGAGACTTTTGTCAGTTGTTATAATTTTAAAGGTCCTTGGAACTTTGTCAGATTACATGGGATTATATTAAAACTAACATGCAATGTTGAATTAAAATGATTCTGCAAAGACGAGAGATTCAAAATTCCTCCACAGTAATGTGGAGAAAGTTATTACAACACATGATGTCAGTTTTTGGTACCAAAGACGACAAAACCAGTTATTAGGTTCAGGGGTTAATTCCTTTTTCAAATAGGGCCAGGATGGCTAGGAAATGATTATTTAAAAGTGGATTTTGCATTTGCTCTTGTCTTCCTCTTTCATGTTTGTAGAGTTTAAACATGTGTGACAGAGAAAACAAATGACTTAAACTGTCCAGTGAAATGTAGCGACCTCTGATTCCTTTCATCAAATGAAAATCCTTGTGGATAAGTCTGACCTTCAGTTACATGTGGATAAGAGCTCATCAATTTAGTATAAATGCATAAATAATCCTATTTAAGGACAGCAAATCTCACAGCTCAGAGTCATGCCTGAAAAGCCCAATTACATTAATTAAAAAGGTGGAATATGTTCTGTCCTGTGGGAGCATTTTACATTTCACATCCATTTATCAGCTTTCTTCTGGACAATTCTGGGAATTGTATGAAAATGTGTGGAAAAAATTAATAAGGTTCAATTTGTCTTAATTAAATGAAGTACTTTATTAGAAATATCTCCACAGAAATTAAAATTAATGACTGGATTAATTAACAAATTTGAAAAAGCATAAAACAGACATATCATTGATGAATGACATTATTTTCCTTATTTTTGCAAACATTTATTCATTCTGAGAGAAACTCCTGCACAGTCTGATCCTTCTGAGTGATTTTCAGTGATCAATAATTCATCTGCAGCAGCTTGCACTCACAACTTGTTTGGCAACGACTGTCATCCAGTTATTTCAGTGCCAGACTGGTTAAAGACGGAAAACCAGGCCAGGATTCAGCAGAATCCAGGCCAGACGAGGATCCCGTCAGGAACCATAACGACCAAAACCACAGAGTCTAACACCCACCTCTGCAGAGTCCTTCACCTTCACGTCTTATCAGGAGGGAAAAGCAAAACCCAGCAGTGACAAACATCTCATTAATGGGATAGAAGAGGATCAGTGGGAAATTAATCAGCTGTAATATTCCTAAAGTTCACATCGTGCTAAAATATGCACGGCTTGAAGGTTCGGCTGAGTGGGGACATAAATGCAGCCTGATTGGTCAGTACATGAGGTTCGTATTCATAATAACACTTTAATTAGTGATAATTTAATGAGTTTAGTGGAGCAGCAGGGCAGCTGATGTAAACCTAATATGCCTTTATTCCAGAAGCAAACAGGGGATTGAGAGCTTGTATAAGGGCAACCTCTGTTATATTCACAGCACAGCGAACTTTACTGCTGTTCACACGCAAAAGTTAATCAGCCAGTGATATTCAGAGAAGCTAAAAACATGCTTAAAACATGCTTAGTGCTTCTCCACTAAATGTTGAAGCAAATCAGACGAAGATTAATTATTTGGATTTTAAATTAGAATTAATTGGACAAATTAACATCAACATGCAGAATGCTTGCAGGAAGCACTTAACTAATGCATGCATGTTGAAAGTGTTTTGTTTTTTATTTGTTGGCTTGAACTTTTTATCTCCACTTATAACACTGAACTTAAGCACTCTGAGTCATCGTGGGTTAGAAATACACTGAAACAGTTACTGCACTACCTATTGATGCATCAGCTGTAATCAGGCAAGTGGAAGCTAAGCAGGACTGAGTTTTAGATGAGTGCTACAAGTCAAGAAAAGACACCAACCCAAATATAACTTCTAACAGTTCCTTATCTTCTCATGTATGTCGGTGTGTCTATAAATGTGTTTCTGTGGGTCTAGGAGTGAAAAAAGCATTTTGTTGATCAAGTTCTGTCACTTTTATTAAGTCAAATTGTTGCTTTTGATGCCTCCATTTTGCATATTGTGTGTGTTTTAGAATGAAGGGTTAAAATTCATAGTGTTTTATGGCATCATGACAGCGTACGTTAGTTTTGCCTGGATCAGTCTTATTTCCCCCCTTACTTAATGATCGCCTGATGCCAGTTTAATGTTCTAAACTCAGCAAGAAGTTGAAGATATCATCCTCCTGCACTGCTGATCTAAAGTCAACAACCATGGAACATAATCAAATACTTCAGCCATAAGCCCCGGATCACCTCTGTAATAAAGCACTCTCTACAAGTTTGCTTGGTATTATCCTTTAATTTAAAGAAGTTGTATAATTAGGCCACTTCCTAAGAAGCCTGCTGTTGAAGCTCATGTCTTGGCCAACTTCAGGTGCATTTCAAGTTTATTTTTCCAAAGTAGTGGAGGAAATAGTCATTGCTCATATTCATCACCATTTGAAATGTTTTCAAGAACCAGAAAAATCAGATTTTCAATTTGCCCACAGCCTAGAAATAGACCTGATGAAGAGAATGAATGGTTTCTTGACAGATGCTGACTGTCCTCTCCTCGCTGTGGTTGATTTGGCTTCAGGATTTTGACAGTGTTGATCAGGGGATTTTAACTGTCTTCAGAACAAAGATGGACTGATTGCCATCAAATTGTTCCAATTCTATCTTACTTACAAAAAAGGAAAAACAACCTCCCCCTTCCCCCCCCCAAAAAAAAATAAACAGTTCTGTTGACAATACAAAACCACAGCCTCACAGATTTACCTCCTTGGTTCCCAGGGGTCAGCCCTTGGGCCCATAATTTAAATAACATTTGCTCTTGCTTAGCAATGGAGCCTTGTTTTATTGCTATGCAGATGGAAATTCCAGTGTAATTAAAAACTACAGCAAGTTCACACTTTCATATGAGCTAAATTATTCACAAAGAAAGTCATGTTGTGAGTTGGACTTTTAGTTTCAAGCGTCCAGCATGCTGATCTGAGCAACATGCATGTATAAAGTAACGGGAGATTAAGTAATGTTTCTACTGGGTAATTGCTTCAATATTTGTGCCACAGCTCCAGTGGTGTAGCTGACATTTGCAAACTGAGTTGGTCATGAAAAGTCCATGGAAGCCTTGCTGATCTGGTGATAGATTGATTGCAAAGGCATAAATTTACTGAGAAAATAGAACAATATTTCTATAGCATCTTGTTTTCCTACGACTGTGAAATTAAAGCCAGATACTCAATGCTGTGGTGGATGTATAGATGTTCTGATAAAATGATTTTCAGTTTAGTTTATTATTTTATGCCATGCCAAAGCAAATCTGAGACTACTGAGTTCTTTGTGTGTGAAAGCTATAAGGAATAAGTTTAAATTCATACAGAAATACCGAATCAGGTCTAAATTAGGGCTAACGGTGGACTTAATGTTGAGCCGTGTCCAAATGAGGTGTAAGTGTAGCCTTGATGTTAAAATGGTGCCTCTTGCACAGCAGGAATAGGGAAAATCACACAGTCACATACACATTTTGATTGCTCACAACAAAACAAGTTCCTATAAAGCTCTGTAAGAGCAACCTTTGATTTAGTTTTCCAGTGACGCAAATTATTCTAAATCTACCACTGTGCTTTCAGCATCTGTTCTTTTAGATGCTCTTTGGTCCTGGCGGAACATGCTTGGGGCTAATCTGAGCCTTTATTGCTTCACATCAGATTTACAGGATCAGCAGGGGGCGGGTTGGACCTTATTACTGCTGTTTCACACAGTACCTCTTCAGTTTCTCCTGCAACACTTCGCAGCAGGAGGCTATTTTCTCCACAACAGAGTCTGATTATCGCAAAGAAACCAATCCTATTGTTTCTGAGGAATACGGTGGCTTTCGAGTGATTTATACCCTTTGAACTTTTATACATTTTGTCATGTCACAACTACAAACCTTAAGGTGCCTCTTGGAGATTTTACTCAATACACCCCTAAAGACTTGTGTAAGTGAAGAGCTGCATTTCCATTAAAGATACGTTTTTGCACTAGAATGAGGTGGTTTTGTTTCAACTATATCAAAATTATAAAATTTCACAAAACTGCATTGGAAAGACTTCTTTTGAAACACACGAGTCATGTGACCAACAACCGAATGTTACCACTGGCGAAAAAGACGACGAGAAGTGGTAGGAGGATGATGAGGCGGCATGTTGTTTAATGACTTAAAACGTGAGCAAACTGTGTGTAATGGAAATACTGCAATTGTGAAACTGTTTTTTTGTGGAATGTTAAAGTTTTATGCATATCTGAAATAGAAATGCTGCTACTGACTCGATGCAATCTGCTTTTTAACCCACTTTGAATAATTCACTGAGCTTCCTGTACTGTTTGACAACTAAGATCAAGTGGAATGCAAAATGATTTGAAATTATTTCTTTCTGCCTCGAGACAATATTTGCTGTGAATTGGCACAAAATGAAAAAAAAAAATATTTAATTGAATTGAAAGTGGAGCAAAAATGCTTTTTTTACACTGTATTGAATCACAGAGCTGGATATAAATGCATGACAGACTTTAGATTTTTCAATAGCATGTATGTTTGTTATTATGCACTACTTTGTGTTGGTCTGTCACGTAAATTCACTGAAAATTGTGGGTGAAATGTGACAACAAGTAGAAAAGTTCACATGATATGAATATTTTTGCAATGCATTCTATGCTGATTGAAAAGGTCTGCAGTTTGCAAAACAAACAAACAAAAAAACCTCATTTATTTGTGACTTGATAAACTGCAGTGTGCATGTGTGAAAACAGGACTGGGTGTAAGATTAAAAAAGGTTATATTTTCATACCGCTTATCTTCTCCAGTTCAGCCAAAGTCTCCTGGTAAGAGCCGATGATTCCTCCGTATCGCGTCACAACCTCCTTCCTCAGGTTGTCCCAGTGAGGAGAGAGTTCCCCCAGTTCCTCCAGATCCTGCACCCTATAAATAACCACAGCACACATTAGGGTTTTACTACATATAAATGTAAAATCACTAATAAATTCAGCAGCTGGCATACTGATACAATATGACCCAGTTTATGAGAGGAAACAACATGCATTACAATAATGTTTTAAACTTTCCAGTCAGGGCTCATGAAGGGATTCAGAATCCAGGAACAACAATCCAAGCTGCTCTTTGAGGAATCCGACACTCATGAACACGTCGTAGTTCAGAGCCATCTCTGCAGACATACATTCCTAAAACTGGACTTGTGGTGCCCACTCACCCACTCCACCCATTTCAAAGCGGCTTTCATCCTGTTTAACTCTCATCCCTTTCCATACTGTATTAAACAAACGAGTCAACTATTTGCTGGATCTTGTTTGCCTTTCATCAGAGTTGTGCCAAAATCACCTCTGCTCCTGCTGCAGAGAATAATTGCAGCTGTGCGCGAGTCGAGTGCATTTCTGTGGGTGCAGGGGCTGATTTCCAACACAAAGCGCAGCCACTTTCATTGTTTCCTCATTTGCATATGAAAAGGGAATGAGATGGACAGATATCATTCAGTCCTCCTGCAGTAAATTACAATGGGAAAATAGAGGCTTAAAAAGGTGTTACATACTATTCAGGACAGCAATTACACCATCACCTGCCGCGATTAGAAGATAACAAGACCAGTGTTTACATATTGCTTTTTCTTTAGCTTAAATGCCCACATGTGTAATTGCTTGTTCATGCATTTTGCTGTTAAGATCAGGTATCTCTGCTTAAATGCATAATGCAGTGGATCAACCCTTGTTGTTGTGACTCAACCCCTGCAGCAATTCAGATTGCCTTTGTAGATTATCTCCACTTTTCTTTTATCCCGATGAATACGTTTGAGATTACTTTGAAGAATCTCTGTACGAGTTAAGGTGTGATAACGACGACGCCTGAAGCAAAAATTGAAAAATTGTCTAAAACAACACAATCCGGCCTCAGTTCCGGTCAAAAGTTTATATTAATCAGAGGCATAAATAACAAAAATGCTGAGCTTTTGATGTTTTATTTGAACTGTCACATTTCTACGATTTAGGGATCATACAGCAGGCAACAAGAATGAGTTAAAATGATCAAAGTATCGGATGCAAAAGTTAGATTTTATTGAGGCAATTTTTTAATGTATAGGTTCAAAATTATGCAGACAGGATGAAACATTTACATATATTCATATAAAGTTGCTAAACGTGACGAGAGCTTATTTATTTCTGGTTGGTGATTATTATAAAAAAAGCTTCTGTCTCACAGCTATCATAAAATTGACTAATATTCAGCTCAATGGAAAAGTCCAAGGAACTCGGTGAAGATCTGAGAAGAGTTATCGATTTACACAAACTGAGAAAGTATCTCAAGATAATAATTTCCAGCAGCTGCATGTAAGTAACAGTTATTTGAATGCAGCTCTGGTTATTATAGAAGTTCAGATATGAAGCATGTTGTCCAGCTGTGTGGCAGGATAAAATACATATTTAGTCTAATAAACTCAAAATTTTTCCAATATAACAATTGTAATGAGTGACCAGTAGCAAAATTATAAAATGATTTGGTGTGTTTTATGATATTTGAACATCCAAAACTCAAAAACTCATTGCTTATTTTTAGCTGTTTTTACACCAAACGCTGCAGAATTTCACACCGATTCTCAATCTAGTTACTCTCCAAATACATTCAACATTAAAATCTCAAAGTTTGATTGCAGCATCTCAGTTAAACTGATCCACTGGGAAACACGGAGTGTTAGATGTTGCTGTAATCTGGACTTTATAACTGGGCAAAAAATACTTTTTAAATATGCTTTCCATGCAGAGTGAAGTAAGGAAAGATGTTTTGTTGCCAAGTACTGGTGTGTTGCTCAAACTGGGTCAAGCTTTCACCAAAAATTGCTGACAAAATCAAAAAAAACTGAAAAAAAAAACTGATTATCGTTACGTTTCTGGAATATTCTTTAAAAATCCTCAAGTGCAAATCAATGATCTGCACCGGGAACTCAGCCAGTTTATATGATATTTACTGTTTCTGCCATCAAGAGTGAGCAAATAACCAACCAGAATTATGGCAGAAGTTTGTTGATGGTTAGAAAAATTTTCAACTTCAAAAAGAGGTTTGGACAGATATTAGAGGGGATGGATGTAAGAACATGAGCCTGGCTGCACATGTATGTATACTGTACTTTCTACTGGAAAAACAAATGTTCAAAACACAAAATTAGTCAACATTAATGTCAACAATGAATACATACAAAACTATTATAGAGTCTGATCAAAAACACCAAACAGATGTGAGATAATCCATTAATTCGCTTGTCATTTTATTAAAAACACAAAATTAAATTGTTGCAAATTGGTAAATACTAGAAGTACATCAACAAAGATGTAATTTTTTTCTATGACAGATTACAAAATCGGAGCAGAAGAAAATGGCATAAAAACAGGCATTGAGCTTGAAACAAGCTGTAAGCAAGAGAGAGCCACATGCTGCGCGACTGTGCCAACGTTCTCTGCAGGTGGCAATGAGCGCGTTGTGCTCATTACATTGGGAGACATAGAGCTTTTTAGCAAAGTAAGAATATTCAAGATTACAAGAAAGAAAGGAGAGTAAACGCCAGCAGGACATGCATGTGATTATGAGTCATTTGTAAGACATTTGTATAAAATGTACATGACTCAGTTTCACTATGCAGTAAATGGCACCTCTTAAGCTTTTACGAAGAGACCAGTGAGAGAAATATTAAAGTCAAATTAAATCACTGTATAATATCCAAACAGCGACTTAGTGAAACTAATTTGAAATGAAATTTATAAGAATGTGAAATGATCTCACTACACTTTAAACATTAAATCTCTCTCTTTTTCTCAGCCGACTGCAGCTCAAGAAGTCTTGGTATCACGATTTCAATCCAGCACGTCTGTTTTTCTCCGCAAGTGAAGTTGCAGCTCAGCTATGCTACGATTCCCAGTGGTTTCAATCAAACATATTGTTTCCAGTGTATCCAATTACAGCTTGAAGTAGCCCTAAATACCAGAGGACCACTTTAAACAATCACAGGGACAATGTGATCATGTTCTGTGATTTGAATAACAAGTTTCAGGGCACTAGAGAATTACAATAGTTAGACCATTCAGACTATACGTCCTGAACACTGATCCTCCATTGTCAACTGACAATGTTTTTTTTTTTTTAATTTGAAGGATTATACAAGTACATATCATTTTTTTAAAACAAAATAATTATATAAAGCAATGGGATAGTGAATAAAGGTGTATTGTCATTTTCCTAATCAGGGTACCGCTATCTGAAAAGAGTATGATAGAGTAATAAAGTGTATGCTGCTTTAGAGTGAGATGATTTTCTTCTAATCTTTCAAAGCAGTCTTGATTAATCAACTCTTCAAGCTTTTTTTGAAGAACTTTTTAAAAGTTTTATTTGCACTTTGGCTGCTTTATGTTGCATTTCAATCCAGTTCCTGCCCGTTTTCAGAAGCAAGGCATAAAAGGCCCCACATGCTTACAAAGTCAAGCAAGTTTATACATGAAAATCCTAATTCTTAAACAGATGAATAATAAATAATTTCTACATGGAGGAAGTAGGAAACAGAACTTCTTTGCACAGGATGACACTGGGTCAAAATCCAAGCCAAAGAAGTAGAAACAAAAGTGGATAACAATACAAATTTCACAAGGGAGGAAAATCAAAGGCTAAAAGACGCCTTCTTTGGACTGCTTGGTGCACAAAGAGAGAGGCAGAAGCCTCACCACTGAAGTCTGTAGAAAACCCGCCTACACGGACCAGGACCCACTGTCAAATTTCACCCAGAATAAAGTTTCTGTCATCAGAAAACTGCAGGTCCTCTCAAGGACGGAAGAGAAGGACAAGCAACACAAACATTCTGGCTTATCTGAAGACATCGGCAGTTTGAGGAAAACGCTCAAATCAGTCCAAGAACAGAAAAAAAAAGCAACTTAGCAACAAATCAGTCTTGAACTGGATCTGTAGCCTGTTTGAGTTTGTTTATCCTGAAACTTCAATGGAGATATTTGTTGTGCGCGTCTTGAATGCGGCGCTGCTCGTATAAATCAAATCCACTGATGCAGAAAAAGTTGTTCCTCCTCTGTACTTCCTGTAGATGTGCTGCTGAGAGTTTGTAACAAAGGAAGGAAAAAAGTCAGATTTTTAGAACTGACTTTGCTGCAGCGTCTTTGCTCTATGCCAAAGCTAAAGTCACTCCAAACTCTGTGTAAATGGAAAAAGTTTAAATGTAATCCATGAATGCATGAGTTGCAGATCAAACTGGCAATAAACCAGCATAAACATCAGAAACATTGTGAGTTGTTACACTCTGAAACAAAAATAAATGTAATTGAATATTGACTAATTTCTTCCACACTTAAAATAACCCTAACCCTATTGATCTAAATTCCTCTGGGTTGTGGTTTTTGTGTTTTCCCCTCGGAAGATGAAAGCTGTAAACCATTCTAACAAATAAGCCCTAAAACAATACTTTACCAGAGGATTTACTTCCTCTGCTTCCCCCGACGGCTGGAAGTGGGATTTTAGCTCAAGAGGAGCCGTTGGCTGCAGACCTGGCAGCAGAGATGGTCAGCTGAAGGATGATGATGGATATTCCAGCTCAACACTGTGAATAAAGGCCACAAGCATCACAAAGAAGAATAAACTATCCAGAGAAAGGAAAAGTAATGAACCAAGGACGGATCACGGGGACCAAGGTCCCTGCTGATGATGTTGGTTCTGGTTCTGATTAAAAGATCTCTGGATACACAGCAGGAGCCCGTCCTGTTCACTGTCAACAAAAGGACTGAGGATCAGAACCGGACCACAGAGCATCAGAACGGGACCACAGAGCATCAGAACCAGACCATGGACCAGCAGAACCGGACCACAGAGCATCAGAGCATCAGAACCGGACCACAGAGCATCAGAACCGGACCACAGAGCATCAGAGCATCAGAACCAGACCACAGAGCATCAGAACCGGACCACAGAGCATCAGAGAATCAGAACCAGACCACAGAGCATCAGAACCGGACCACAGTGCATCAGAACCAGACCACAGAGCATCAGAACCAGACCACAGTGCAATGGCACTGACTAAAGGCTTTGATCTTTTGTCAGCTGGATAATGAACCTGTTAGTAACCAAAATGGTTTAGGAATGGTTTGAGTATAAATCAATATTTACCAAAAATTTAATGTATTACAAATTTTAATGCTATAAATCTTTTTTTTTTTTTTGCTTACATACAGTCCCAGGTCAGAACATTTGTGTTTGTGTGTTTCTGGTAAATCTGACACACTAGCAACAAACAGCAAAAACAAAGCTGCTCCTCTTGGCTCAGTCATGTTCATTTATTCAAGAATTTAGCTGCAAAAAGGGTTTCTGAGTTGCTTATTTTGCTTTTATATGGTTTTTGATTAAAATGCGAATCCCATCACTAAGACTAAACATTATCTTCAAAGACACTGTCAACATGCTGTTAAAATGAATTAAATTTCTTTGTTTTTTCAAAAATCACTGGAGTCAAATATTTTCATGTTCCTCCTGATTAACATGAAATATCTTCAAAACTAAACGTTTCTCTTCAGCCTCTTCTGGATTTACCATCAAACAGTCAGAACCTCACACACACAGAGGCCGAGAGGAAACAAACGTAAAGATCCCTCACTTCAACCCTGAACATGCTAATTGACATCAGATGGAGAGGGATGATCTCTTCCCCTGTTAATGACAAAACAGGCAGCTGTTAATAGATGAGGGTTAATCTACTGTACACCCACACACTTCAACGCAGCACGCATCCATTATCTTCACTCGCAGAGACAAAAACATGCGCACAGAGAGTCAAAGCAGCAGGATAAAGAAAACGTCTTAGTTCACACCCTCAGATTGGAACACAAGTTTAAGACATCAAAGCCAACAAACAGAAGAAGGAAAATCGAGATTATCTGGGAAAGTGACGATGCCACCCACCATCTGAAGCACAAACTGAATGATTAAAAACCCTGCACTGGCACTGCTGTGAACTCTGACAGAATGGAGGCTAAATGGAGAGGCACAGAGGAGAAAAAAAATAAAAAATACGACGTTAAAAGAGGATTACAGGAGCCGTGCCTAAACAACCGAGCTGGGGATGAAGCAAACACGCTTATAAATAAGCAAAGATCTTAAAGGAAAGATTCCAACGTGCTTCCACTTGCTTCACACAGATACTACACGCAGGTTTCATAATTGTCAGCTATATGCCTTAAGTGATGCACTTTCATAGCAGATCAATGTGGTCATGGCTGGGAGGCTGTTTGTTTGTGTTGGAGGGAGTGACTTTTCCTGCAAATGTGTCCTTGAGCATGTGAGTAAACCTTTCACAATGATTACAGCTCAAAACCTCCTGGATCCCTGCGTCTCCTGTACCGACTGCTTGCATTAGAGCATAAAGAATTCATGTAAAAGATGTGTCTGTGTGTATAAGTTCTCCGCTGCGCTATGTGGGGGAAGGGGTTGCCAGGGACAACAGACCCCGGTTGCACAACGATCCGTCTCGACAAACACCGCTGAAGCCTCGGGGAAGTGGATCTTTGATGTGCTCAGTAATGCACACTTGGAGGCTTGCGAAGAGTGATCCGTTTGTCATTCAAACATAATTCTGACTCAGTTTAGCTGGACTGAAAATGCGTTAAACATGCATGAATTTGACCTGTGCATTCAGCCCGGCTGCTGGTTGAACGTTAAAACCCACAACCTACAGGCAGGGAAGACGTTTCCCCATCAGGAGGCTGCAGGTGCCGTGCCTGGGAATTAGTTTGGTGATCAGATGCTGCAGTCAAAGAGGAACCAAGCTATGAAGATAACAGCGGCACGGCGCTGTCATTCTCCATTCTGACCTACATTTGTCCCTTTTGCACTAATCTTCTCTCTTTATGTTTAAACCGATGAATTCTAATAAGTTCTGAGCACAGGTTTAGACATACACTTAATGTTTCGCAGGTTTTTATACAGACTCCTGGCGCAGAAAAAATTGCAATTTTACGAGTCACATAAATGAAACAAGTCGAGAGCAACAGATAATCTTAGCTTGTGCTTTAAAATCTGAATAAGACAATTATTCAGAGAAGGTAAAGAGCAGCTCCTACAACAACAACAACATAAATCCAACATTTACTGGGAAGTGCCTAAAAAAGAACGGCTTCCTGCATTATAGGAACAAGAAGGTTAGCCATGATCAAAACATGAATATTTAACCTCTTTAACTTCCCATTTGGTCACTTTCAGAGATCATTTTATGTGCTGACCAGGGTCTGCAACCTTTACAATCCAAAACGCCTTTTTTCCCCCTCAGTCCAACTCGATAAACCTCATTTAGAGCTGCCAGTGTCACCAGACCATTTTTAATAAGCATCCAAAATAGAAAATATGTTGTCATTTTTAAAGGGCCGGTATTTTATTTCTAGTTTTAGTTAGTAACATAAAAATATTGATATAACGTTTTTTATATGCTGTTTTGTTTTCATCCAGTAGGCTCAGTATGATTAGGGACCAAAATGGCAACATTTGTTGAATTTTCAGCTCACTTTCACACTGCACTGTGTCAAACAATCCAAACTCTTTGAGCAACCTGTCCACCTCCTCACATGTGGTGGACCAAGAACCACCGAAAGAAATGACAAAAACCTCAGCAGACGACACTGAGTGCAACTTATGACTTTGCAAAATGTTCACAAAAATGGAGTAGATATCAGTTGTAGGTTTTCTCTTTTGTCTTTGGCAAAAGACCACAAGCAATTTCTCCCGCTAGCGCTAGACTCTCGTGTTTGTTTAGGTTGCATTTACCCAGAAAGCCCTCCAGTATAGTCACCTTCCTGCTTTTGGAGCACTCAGCATTCATATATGCATCTGAACTGCACCAGAGTTCTCTTTGAAACCTAGGTTTATAGGCAGATCAGAGTTTTCTTTTTTGGTTGTCAGAGTTTGATTTTGCATTCACACCTCTCCAAACAAACCAGATTGCAGTTAAACTACAGTTTAACTAAAGCAAACTAAACAGGACTGGTGTGAATGCACCCATAGTTGCACCCATGGGGGAAGACTTGTGAGCTGATTGTTAATCAAATGACACACCACACCATGCATTTTTGCCTTTGGTCCAGCAGCCTGCTGGCCTCATTGATCACCTGTCATTGCTACACCTTGTTAAGGTGCCTCACCCATTCAGGTGTTTGTTGTAACCCAAACGGGCAGCAAGGCTGACTTTGACTTCACTTTTGCGGCTCAATCTTTACAGAAACCACATAAAAAGGCCAAAACGTTTCCAATTTTCAACTGTGACTGTTTTGTAAAAGTGGCTATTGTGCTTCATTGGTTGCTCCGGTTCCTGAACTGGATCACTCCCCATGACTTCTATGATTCCCTGCCTTGCAGTGGACTCTGCTGAACATCTTTTATTGACTCCATCTGGCTGTCTCTTTGTTGCGCACTTGAGGCAAACTGTACAGCTTTGGCTCAATTCCACTTATATGTCCAGTAAAATTATAGGCTGCAAGTTATAAAAATAGCTTTAAATATTGTTCAGAATAAAAGCAGTAGAAGAAGATTCCTCAGACGAACAAACAGATTTAACAAGAGATTTTGCCGTGGCATTTAAAAGCTCAACAATCGGTCGGCATACCTGCTCCTGTCCTCCTGGATGTAGAGCGACAGCAGCTGTTTGGGGATGGTGAACGACAGAGTGCACTCCTCCATTTGTTCCCGCACCAGCATCCACTTGCTGTCCACTGTCTGAAATCTGTACACCTTGCATACCGGGTTCCTGAACACTGTGAAGGAGCAGAGAGCAAATGAATAGGGATGCATCTGACACAGCACAAAATAAAACATATTCTTGCCAGTGGAAATCCTTGGGATAATCCTTCGAAAATTTAGCAAAGTTGAATAGGAAATCTAAACCAACAATGGCAGCTGCCATCCTCAAGGACACAGCAGAGCAGGAAGACATCAGAAGTCTTTAAAAGTCACAGGAGGTATGAAGCACAAATTAAATTCTATAATCAATAGCTGTGTCTGCCAAAGATAAGACATTTCTCATCTTCCGAGCTCCACTTCCTCGCTCTCTTGTTCAATGTCAGCACAGAAAATACACAACCCTCGTGTTGTTAATCTTTGCCCCCAAATCTCCTCTGTTTCCATTTTAATTGCTTATTTATTGTATGACACCAAGGCACAGGCTGTACAATCATTTTGAAGTTTTGGATGCTAACCCCGCCACCTGATTCACATTCTGCACCATCTTCCTCCTTTCTGCAGAGAGTTTCTAATAGCAGCAATCGAGGGGCTGAAAACGAAAAACAGCCCTAATGCTCTTATCTGCATGCTTGCAGCAGAAGGCGAAAAAGCTGTCAGCCTTAAACAGTGTTTACTGCTCCTTCTTCCTTTAGCTGGAAAAAAAAGTCACTCAATAAGACGGAGCCGGAGCACCCGAGGTGAAACGTTGACAACTTCGTGTCACGATGGTCAAACATGCGTGGCAGGAAGATGTTTTTGCTTTCATTTAAAACTGGGATCCATACTTCTGGAGAAACTGACAACACAGAAAATGGTGCCGTACACAACAAACTCCTCATTCAAAAAATTGACAAAGTTCAACTCAAAACTGTAATTTATTTCCACAGCTGTGTCATGCAGCGCCTGTCCCATTAATCCTGCTACCTCTGCGTGATGTGCTGTTGAGTGTTAAAGTGGCTCTCGCTCCTGCTGTATAGTTGTTTCTAAGAATGACTGCAAAAACATTTCTAAAGGTGCTCAACTTTTACTGCGCGCCTTCTAAACTGTTGTCAGCTAAATGGGTTAACTTTATTCACGCTCTTGGTGCCAATAGATCCAAGAAGGTGCATCACGGTGTGAGTTCATTGAAATTTTCACGGGGATGGCCAGGATCAGACCGTTGCCAACTCAGGGGAGGATAACAACTGTAAATCTATCCAAACTATAAAATTATCCGCTCATTGAGACTCGGTCATGACATAAAGGAAGTGTTATGATCCGTTGGTGGTTGGACTTTAGTCTTATCTTTGTTTCCTGTTTTGATCTCTTCCTGTTTATTAACTTAGATGTGGTCTTCTGTGTTTTACTTCTCAGTTTATCATTATTTGAGAATTTGATCTAAGTAGATCTAAGTTTCTTAGATTAGCGTTCCTTTCTGTTTCCTGTTAGTTTCATGTTTTTTTTCCTTTCTTCCCTGGTTTCCCAGTGTCTCAGTTTGTTCATCTTTCTCTCTTCCTCAGCCTGCCAGTTTGCCTCTCTTCCCATCTTTTTCACATCTCCTAATTTCACTTTGCTTGCTTTCTTCTCCAGATCCCTCTACGTGATTAGTCCCTCTGGTTTTTATGTCACTCTTTTCTGTTCCTCAGTGTATTTAAAGGTGACCCATTATGTATTCTTGTACGGGTTAGGATAGATCTGTGGGCAACACAAATATGTTCATGACATTTTTACACAACATCATTCTTTGATAATGAGATCTCAGTCTGTTTAGTTCTGTCTAAGTTGCTGGGAGCCACGCCCCCCAACTCACCATTTACACACACCATTTACACACGCACATGAAAATGGCTGCAAACAGATGCACAATTATACGACCATACATCTTTTAAAAGCAGAAGTGGAGCCTCCTGCACAACCAGCAAGAACTCAGCAAGTGGTTTCTGGATGGTAAGTCGACATCAAAACACTTGTCTTTTTCAGCAGCCATTGTACAGCGCATGCAGCAAGACAATGTGCTGGAACTTATCTTGGGTTGCTAGGTAATGGGCTGGGCTTTGCTGAGGTTGCTAGGTGACGGGCTGGGCCTTGCTGAGGTTGCTAGGTGACGGGCAGCGCTTGCTGACATTGCATTTCAGAGGTTTTTGAAACGGCTCATTTTTGAGACACCACAGACCATTAACTTATTGCCAAAAACCGACTGGGTGTTAAGGATTACTGGTTTGTAATGTTTTTTTCCTCTATCAGATTTTCTCTGAGCTTAGTTGTTTACCTGCCAAGAATTTTCCTTTTTAGCGTTCTAATATGCACTTTATGTTCAAATGTGTATAACTTTTCATTTCACATCACAATTATGCACTACTTTGTGCTGGTCTGTCGCATGAAATCCCAATACAGACAGACAGAAGGTGAAAAAGTTCAGGGGGTGTGAATATTTTAGCCGCTGCATGAGCCAAACACATGAATCCAGTTAAAGTCTGGAGAATGTTGGTGTTATGAAAACCTGCTCACACTTTAATTAGACTTGGCAGATTTCGCAGCAGCTGGTGACACAAACTGTTGCTTTAAAATACAAATAATCTTATGTCAGGTCAACCAATTATAAGCAACTTTGATCCTGTTTTTAGGAAGCCAGCAGCTCGTTCTGGGAGTGTTTCTGAAGATGGAGAAGCTTGTTTCTCTCTCATAATCAGGGAAGACCTGCTCTAAAGTTTACAAAGTGCAGCAGAACTGGGAAGATGTAGGTGAGAAGTGAAACTTTGCCAGTGACACAGAAACCTATTCAGACAGAATGCGTGTATGTGTGTGTGACTATGGTTTCTGATACAGACAGGGATATAATGTAGTGTATTTTATGGAAAACGTAAAGCATAAACAAAGAAACAAAGGGTTTTATTCCCTACTGCAGTGTTATAAATCACTGACTGCTATTGTTGATTCAGGCATGAAAGGACAACAAAGGGTTTTTATAAAGTTCTGTGAAACTCAGATAAATTTTCAACGTGGAGAACACATCTTTAAGAAGATCCTCAAATTAAAGAAATTCTCCAAAGAAAGTCAAGAATAAAGTTCTTAAGAGCTGGTCCACTTCCAAAGATGGATTTCTGTCATCTTTACATCAGTCTCTTTTATGTTAGATGATTATGTTCACTGCTTTGCTGAAGTGTTAACAGGCCTTGATCTTTTCAGATGTTGGCTGGCAGATAACTTCAGTGAAATGTATATATTTTTAGATATCCAGGCATAACAGTATAGACGTATTCAACTGTTTGACCTTTTCATTGCCATTTCACAAATTCATCAGTCGCATTGCATGGAGAGAATCAACTTTAAAGGTCTTCTATAAAATTCAGATTTGTGGAGAATTTGACTAATTATTGTTGACCTCTGCACCTTTTGAAGAGTTATCATGGCCATCTGTTCCTCTCTTGTGTGCCTGTTTAGGTGTTTTAGCAGGACTGTAGAAGTTCCTGATTCATTTTGTTTGTGGTTGATGAACAGTTTCTCCTCCCTGAGATGTTCAAAGCTTAAGATTTTTTTTTTTTTAATTTTCACGCTGATCTGCTGGTTTCATGTTATTCATAATGTCGCTTTTTTTCACTAACTATTTACAGCAGATTTAGGCTTGAAATGCTCTTTTAATTTCACTAACTAAATATAATATTAGTTTTTTTGGACTGGCCCGGTTTGTATTTAATGGAGAATACGCTCATGTATTTAAATGTACTTCCTCATAAAGTGAACCATGATGCAGGGAGGAGCAGAGGAGGAGAAAACAAAAAACTGAGGAGTTGGAAAAACACAAATCTAACAGAAATAAAGAATAATTTAACAAAGAATGAGCTAAAGCAGTAAAAACCGAGACATAAATAAAGAGCTAAGGAAAGACTGATCAAAATATAAGCAAAAAAACTAAGAATGAGAAAAAACTATAAACAGTTGATAAAAAAAAAAATCTGGAAGAAAACCGAAAACAACCCAAAAACCTGACAAAAGATCTGAATGTATATTTATGTGTGAATTAGAGTTAGCACTCTTTACATAACTTAACACCTGCTGAACACCAAAAACACAACTGATTTTTATATAACTACTAATAAACTCAAGCAGTTTTATTATTTGTATTTTTAAGGCTCTGTCTGAATGCAATGATAGATTTCTAATCAAAAAGACTGTTTTGATTTTCACTTATGAGTACCAGAAAATATCTTAATATGTGTGAAATAAAAAGGCATAAAAATGCTCCACAAAACAATAATTGCAGGGTAAATCGACCATAGAAAGGCTTATTATTTTTCCTGTGCTGCAGAAGATGAAATTAATGAGGATTATAGTTAAGTCTAGCCCCGAATTGACCCCTGAAAAAGCTCATAATTGTATTTAAATGAGATTTATTGTGGGCATGAGGATTATGGAAAGTGAATAGGATGACAAAAAGCTCAGGGTGAGGAAGGGGAATGGAGAGAAAGCAAAGAAAACTTTAAACCAGAGGAGTGATAGCTGCTGACTTCCACTATCTTCAGAGAAGCGGATTAACCTCTGAACCCCCCGGCTGCCCCTTGCCCCGTCCCACTAATCTGAGCACCAATCAGACGCCTCCGTTTTCCTTCCAGACACCTCTTAAGAAAATGAGTCCCTGCGCTGCGCCGCACAGAGGCCTGTTTCCTCACTGCTCTCTGCATGCTCATTTCAAAAGCTAATAAAAGTGGAAGAGAAAATTGCATTACGCAGTCTGGTGGCATCTGCAGGGAAGGCATTGTTTCTGACAGGCTGCAGATGTGCACCTGCAAAAATTGCTGCCATTCACTAGTTATTCACAGCAGAAAATATAAGTGACAACGACACCATTACAACAGGAGCCGGGCTGCTGGGGAGCACAGAGAAGTGATACAAATCTGCATAAAAGAGAGAGAATGGGTGCTGGAAGGAAAACATTTTCCGTGAAGTCTTCTTTAAACAACAACTGTGACGTTTTAGCACAGCAGGATCCTTTTCAGGTTCTCTCCTTTTCTTGTGACATTGTCTTTAATTTTCTCTCCACCCTTCTTGTTTTCATCAGAATCGGATCCAACTTTCTGTGCAGCTGGAGAATTATTCTCATGCAGCTGGATTCCTGTCGTTTCATCCTTCAGGGGGAGCCGAGGGGCTCATTTGCTGACTGCATGCAGGAGCCAAGATTTATTAGATCAAAACAGGGAAATCTAAAGTTTCTGTTCAAACTGAAGACGCTTCAAATTGTCTTCATTCAAAGTGTGTTCAAAGGATCAATTTTGTGGTTATTAGATGGAGAACATCAAGGGAATTTTACCAAAGATGTTTTGGGATTTTAACTCCTGTAAAGATTAAATAGATCAGAATAAAGTAGAGACGAATTACAGCAGTTTAACCTTTTCTTCCAGGTAAGATTAAACGGCTTTGAGTTGAGATCCATAATTACGGAGAAGACTTTGTGAAATTTTATGGAAGTAGGAGGAAAAAAGACATTATATCCCTGTAAAACAGAAAGGAATAGTTGGGTTACAGGTGATGATGGTAGGAAACGTACCTGGCCCAGTTAGAGCGTAATCTTCTCTGTCGATGCAGGGCTGGTCCGCAGGCTCACACACCAACGGACACTGAGGATGAAAGAAACACAAATATACATCAAAGTGTTTCTTTGTCTTATAAACACAGGCAGGTTTTGATTATTACCATGACGGGAACACTTAACCTCACAGTTACTAGGAATTTAAGCAATAAGTCAAGAGAAATATGACCAAGTATGAAAAGTATTCATACCCTTAAGCGTCTGTACATGATTATGAAGTGGACGGAAACAGACACATGGCATTGATAATATTTTTACAAAAGAAAACATTGAGAAGTGTGGTGGGCATTTCTCTTTAACCCCCTGAATTAATTTATTTTAATATATTTTGGAATCCGTGTTCTCTGAAACTCAAACCTTTCTGACTGTTTCTCTACCAGCCTCCACATCTAGAGGATCAAACTTCTGTCCATTCTTCTTTGCAAAGCACCTCAAGCTTAGTCAGACTGAACATCCTGAGCTGGTTTTAAATTTGGACTTTGACTAGGCCATTCTAACACATGAATCTGATTTGATTCTTCCTGTTGTGTTTTGTAGTGTTTGCTTTGGAGCAATTTAATCAACTTAAATCGAATTTCACTAAAACAAACACAAATCAGGGAAAAAGCAGACATTAGCATTTATAGACACACATCATAAAATACGACACGGTAAACAGCTGCTGATGTACCGACACTCAACAAATGATGTTGCACCTATACTGCAGTTATTAAGCTCATAAAAGGAAAAGTCTGGAGGGAAACATTGACTCTGACTTCTCTGAAATGGGAGCAGATCTGAAATCTGCCCCCTTCAATCCTAAATGAGTTGTTATTGATTTTCCAAATGAATAATTCCCTCTCTAGGAGCAAATATTAAATTATTACAAATATTGTATCTTCTGTATGTCAATTTGCACACAACCTGCAGCATAGAAATCCTAACTCCAAGCACACCAAACAAAAATGTTCAACTTCAGTTTTAAATCATCATTAATCGTGTTACTAAGCAACAAACTCATTATGTTCAGTGTTTTTCAATGAAGCTGCCAGAAAAAGAACTTGTAAATTTCTGAAAGTATTTAATAAAAACCTCCCATGTATTACTTTGAATTTCTAACCCTTATGATTCATGAATGCTGATGAATTTGCAGATGCCTCTCTTTTCACTCTTTGTGAAACTTGTGAGTTGTTTTTGTTCTCGGTGAATCCAGTAAGACTCGAACTGAAAACTATTTAAATTAAGTCTGAAAGTAGAGAAAAGCTAATATCATTGTAACAGCTCCTGCTCACGTTTCAGGTGCTGATTTAGAGCCGGGAAACATTAAATGAAGTGACACTCAAACGTCTACCGCCTGCTCAATGCCAGGTTTGTGTAAAATAAAAAGTTGGATAAAGTTAAAATAAATGCTTTGCAAACTTTTCCCACTTTTAATGTAACATTTAATAAATAAAACAAATCAATCTATAAGAGGAAAAATATAAAATTACTTCAATAAACTGGATGTAAACCACTAAATAATGCTTGAAGAACATAGATTCAGTTTCACTTCACATCTTTAGCCAAATTTTGCCTTACAGACAACTTGTTCTTTCAATCTTTGGGTTTGGGAGAACATCTCTTGTTCGCAGCTCTTTCCAGATAAATCCAGCGGTTTTCTGAGAGAAGAAGAAACACCACAGCCATGTTCTGCTGTTTGTGTTGCTGTTGAACATCCAACAGAATAAAGAGGAACCTGAACTTTCATTTTCATTCATTTGATTCGTCTTCTGGTAGTCTATTTAAACTGTCACTTCATTCCTCACCATCAGCTAATAGTGCCTGTGTGAAACATGGCTTATGGCGGCCAGAGCCAGGGTTATTTTAGTTTTTTATGCCTTCCTGTTCGTGTTGGTCCAGTAGGAGCCCAGATCAGAGCGCTCCTTCTGGATGCAGCCCATGGGGGTAAACCTTTGTGTCCTGCTAGCCAAGAAGAGGATAGCTCTGTTCTTTATTCTCAAGACCCCCAATCAACATGTGGCGAGCCAGAGGAGCCAGCCCACCGCAGAGATGAAGCAGGGAACCCGCATGGTTACTGAGCAAAGCCAGTCGCCGCTGGTTTTACAAACTGGTGCCAAGTTAGAAATGTTAACTTGGCGAGGCCGCGAAGGGAGAGAGGAGTTTCCTTCAGTCGACGGCTGTTGTTGTGGAGCAAAGACTGGATTAAACATGACTCAGCAGTCTGGCATTAAAAACACTCCTCACTCTTTTGTTGGCACAGCAATGCACATGAAAACAGACTTTATTGACCTTTTGCAAATATTTAGATCATTGACATGAATTGATTTTCTTAAAGGATACTGAACAGCGCCAAAGCTGGAAGCTCTAAAATTTAATTTAGCTGTTATTTTCTTTAGTGATCAGTTATAAATTAAGATTTTTTTTTCACTCTAGAGTCTTTTGTGTATTTCGTTCATTAGCACAATGTCATTTTGATCTTTGTCCAAGAAACGTCCTGGTGCCAGTTTTTGTCCGTCCATCTATCTGTGGTCAGAACTCCATTCAAAAGCTCACTGATTAATTAACAGCTTTCATTAAACAAATGAACTGATTAACTTCTCAGAGTCTCCATCAGAGTCAAGGTGGACACAGAAATAATTAGAACCAATCCAAACAGTTTTCACATCCACCTCCTGAGACTAATTAGTGTTAATCACATTGCACTGTGACCTCAAACTAACTACTATTGTTCTTCACACACTGGACAGATAAAGTAGTAACACATATTTTGCACTTTAAGGTCTTGGGTTTGTAGTCATGAAAAGTCAAAGTGTTTTGGTATTTTGAAAACTAAAGGGCGTATTGATTTAGAACCAGAAAACCTAAAATATTTGAAGTTAGGAAACATAAATCCTGATCAGCTTTTCCATTTATTTTTCAAAACAGAAAGACAATTTTATGAGACTATGTTGAATTTATCTGTCTCAACATACTGGCAACACAGAACAAGGATTTTGGAAGCCATTTTTCTGCAAAGATCACCGACAGGATCAACAACAACAAAAAACAGGATTATATTTTGTTTCCCGTAGGAATATGAATATGAAAGGTGTGTTTATGGGGCCAAACAAACGTGTTAAAAACAGCTAACTTGTTATAGGCTCACAGAGTTTCAGAAGTGTGACTGATATTGTCCTTAAAATAAACTTCCACTAACTCATAATTGTCACTTCCAGAAGAAGAAAGCAGTTTGTTTTTACAGTAGCTTGTAGAAATGAAGGCTGACTGACATCAGAATAATAATGCTGGTCAGAATTGGAGAAGAAACTTCAAATTTAATATAAATGCTGCCAAAATGTGTTAGTCTTTGTCACAAGTAGTGGTTCAAACTGGAAATGGAGATTTTGCTTTTGATCTGTTTGTTCAACAATTTTCATTTTAAAACAACGTAATCGCTCTTCAGCAACTCTCAGCTGCATTCTTTGATTTTCCTGTTTTCCCCATTTTCCTTTCAAACTTTTCAGCATATTTTTTCATCTTGATCATGAAAATGAGGAAAACTACTGAGAACTTCAGGCTCAACACGGCTTAAAAAAAATGTAGAAATAAAAAATACAAAAAAACCACTAAAACTTCCCTCTTACGCCACACTCTGCATCTCCAAATACAAATGTTAAATTCATGCCTCTGCTGGGCCTTTTAGTCCGCCCCTTGAAGCATTAAGTCTGGGTTTTCCTGATCAAAGCGGGGCTGACAGCTAACAATCGCTCTCGCTCGTTGCATGTCAGCTCTGCCTGGTCTGAGGAACCATTACACACAGCAAGACAGACAAATCTGTCCCCAGAAAAAAGCTTTTAATGGAAGAGAACAAACTCTTCTAGTTAGGGAAGGGATCTAGAGCAAGGACAACACCAATCAACGCCTATGCTTTCACACGCACACAGACACAGGGTCCAAATGAAACCCGGCCCATTGATCAGAACAAGCAGAGGTGACGTTTGACATTTGAAAATCCCAGTGAGAAGAGCCAGAGACAGAGAAAAGCATTAACAAAAAGCCCAGGAGCGCAGCTGCCGAAGGTGTTTTATCATAATTGTGGGTAGCGGTCAGTGTGAGGTCGACGCTTCTTTGATGGCTAAAATATGAGAGGAGATCAGATCAAAGGTGACTCAATTCTCTTTCTTGTTTTGGGTGAGTGTTTTCACAGGGTTAGTGGGATATTCATGAGAAACAGCAGCCACTCGAACAAATCAAACCGGAGCTCCCAATCCCAAACACCCCCCCAAGAAAATGCACAAAGTTTGTGCAGAAACTCCATCTGAAGCAAACCTTCCTGATGTCATTTCCCTTCCCTTGTTCCTCTGCACATTCTCTACAACAGAAACAGCATGCACAGGCGGAAATCTGCTCTGACAACACACACTCATACACTCTCACACATGCCAACACATTCATCAAGAAGACATGGGCAGATTGCCGGTGACACTCCAGAGCCTGGCAGGGACCCTCCCTGCACCAGCAACAGGGCTGGGCAAAGCTAAAGCCAGTCAACCGTGCAGAAGCCCTTGGTCAATTATATAAGAGAGTGATTCACACACACACACACACACACACACACACACACACACACACACACACACAAACGCACGCACGCATGCAAAGTGAGACAGCTCACTGACAGCAGGCATGAACTACAAGTCTATATGTTGCAACATTGTAATGAAAGTACATCAGACACATCATGAAAGCTGCTTCTCTAATATTTAAAGCCTGTTGGCTCTAAAGCACACATGCGCTTGATATTAATATGAAGAATGAAACTGAGTGAAATGAGGGAACATATCACTTCACTTCAGCTCGGATGGCATCCCATTTGCATGAACTTAAAGTCAAACTTTCAGGACGCTCGCTCTTCCCGTTCTCCTCCCTGATTGAGTTAAAAGCTGAGCAGCGAATGGGATTAGAGCGGATAACGAGGGCGGTGGCTGCAGCAAAACTACCATCCGGGAAATGTTTATGGGCAAATAAACAACGAAGTGGAAACACAGATAAAATAAAAGTGGTTGGAAAGATTTCAGATTGTTTCCCCATCAGCACGAACACGCTAACGCCGACGATAAAACGTCCGCACGCCGGGTAAATCCTCATTAGGGTTCACTTAAATTTATTTAATCTCACTGGAGAGTATGAGCAGAGCTGGTCTAATCCCAGGATAAGCAGAAGGGATCTGATATGCAGACACTCGTACTTTGCCAAATAACATGCTTCACATTTTATGGCTCTCTCATAAAGTAGGGTAAAAAAGTCTGAAAATACATTCAGCTTTTACAGTAGCAGCATAATCTCAAAAATATAAAGGTTAATAATCTAAACTTTTATTTGAGAAAGTGATGTTACTCTGTCCTCTTTAGCCCAACTCACATGCTAATTATGGGGTTTAATAATGGAGGCTGAAATAACCATGGAAGACAATTGAATTTGTTTGGTGAACAATTTCTGTGTTGATTTGGAACAATTACTTAGTGATATATTTTTTTTACCATATTTCTATTTAAATGTGTTGACTTTTCCTCATGCCAATTACTTTAACAAGATTTCCACGTCATCAGGAAGGGAAACGGCATCATGGATCCTCCACCTTTCATTCTGTGTTTGTTGAAAAATCTAAATCTTAGTCTCAACAAACCAGAACAAATATTTCCAGTTAAATCCCTGCTGGAGTTTCGCAGTCTCCATTTACATTTGTCATGTTAGATAAAGATAACGGTCTTTTTCTTGCATCTAGAGTCTGATGGTTGTTATTGAGACTTGGCAACCTCAAAATGCCACTCTGTGCTGCAGTCGTCTGACAATTAGATTTGGAGAGCTATTTTTTAAATCTCCCTTACCATCCTCCTCACTGTGCAAGTGGCGAGATAAAATAGGGTTTTCATCCAATCTTATTTGTCACTGTTCCAGTTTTTTTAAAACTTTTTTTATTTATTGCTCTCACTGCAAATATGGACAAGTTTAAGCGAGTTGTGATTTTCTTGCCCCCATTTTCTTACTTCCAGAAAGTAACACACACATGCTCCAGTCCGATGGCTGGATCGTTTTGAAGTCTGCATGGGAAACTGGCCTCTGCATTGTCACATTTATACCTCCATGACACAGAAAGCCATGAAGGGGGTGGGGCTTAATCGTGTCATTTATATTTTATCATTGTCATGATCAATTTCAATTAATGATGTTTAAAATCCCCTAAAATTATCATGTTGGGATTGTTAGAATCAATAAATATCAATGAATTTGAAAAAATATTAAATACAGTTAATGGGTGTAGTGTAGTAATATACATTCTACAGATGTGCATTAAAAAATGGAGATGTTTGTCAGGAGCAGTATTTGTGGTTGTGGGGTTATAATTGATGTGTCACACAGTCTCATAGTTTCCTAAAAATTGAGTAAAAAGTAGTTATTATCTTAACTTTTATTATTATCATTGCAGTGCCACAAAATGTCATGATAAATCTAAGTCCATGTTGCCCATCACTAATTATTAGTGAACCTATAATCACTAATTACAGTAATGTGCCTGTTACCTGGACAAAGTGAAATGAAGACAAAATGTTCTGGTTACATTTATTTTCGTACAGATTGAGGTTTCAATCCCTGTTCCACAGATTTGTGGAGCAAGTTATTCACAGAAGGTTTTATGTTTTTTGCTAAAATAATTTGAAAGAAAATCTTGACACACAATTGGCTGCAGTTAGTCCAAGAGTGCCATTTATTTTACTCCACCCTGATTGGCTGTAAGGATAACTGTAGATGCCAGCTTCTGCAGTAACGCAAATATAGTTTTCATCATGTGCCTTAGTGCATATTAATATATATTTGGTGTTTAAACTATTATAATAAATTAATTATAAGAATTTCTAGAAGGCGGTCTCAAGGATTGGTGGATTTTAGTTACTGGGTGGAGGTTGTGGTAAATACTGGGATACTGCTGTGGTGATGTAGTAAAAAAAAACACTTTTCTCTGTTGAACAGGGCACTAAAAACATGATTTTCAGTGTGATTCCTTTAAGGTTTGGTCCACATCTTGCGTTTAGAGTGTGCCGTACCTTCTGTGAGGACGAGTCGGTGGCGATGTGGTCAGCCTCCTCCATCTCCCCCATCTTCAGTCGACTCACTAACACTGTCCCTGCTGGGCACACACCATCCGACGACCTGAAAAACACGAGCATTGAGCTTCGAATAAAAAAGATCTTCCATCTGTAACTGCTTCACAATGATCAGACGTGGATGAAGTAACATTCTGGCTTTGAACAGGTTTCACAATTATGAAGCTTGTTGAATTAACATGCAGCAGCAAACACAGATGCTTTGCCCTGGGATTTCTTTACCTGACAGATTGTGCAGAAAAGTCTGCTTACTGAAAAACGCCGAGAAGTTTACAGGGAGCCGAGGGAGAGAACGTCTTACTTTACTGTTCAAATGGTGGCCCACAGAGATGACTGGACCTTTTCAGATACTGTAGAGCAGCACGGACAATCACTTTTCCAATTGCAGAGCTTGTGATTAAGGAGATGATAGAAAATCTATAGTATTGGCAAGCAGACAGAAGGTTTAAAATGAAGAAAAATGGCCCCTCCACATGACGGCAGCAAGTCTGATCACTTTAAAAGAGTCATCCTTAATGTGCTCGGTTCCACTCCAGCTGGAGAAAACGCTGGCTGCTGTGTGCCAGCTAGCGGTCTGAGGGGAGGTAGGAGGGATGACACACGACTGCCCGAGGAGGAAAAAAAACGTAGGGACGGTGATGGAAACAGAAGGGATCCTTTCAAAGCTAATCCATCTTGATGAGGTACAAGGAAGAAGTTTTTAAACACACACAGAAGAAAAGAGGAGAGAGGGAAGGAAGCGAACGGAGGAGGAGGAGGACTGGGAGCCTGAGGAGGCAGCTGCAGGGAAAAAGCGTCTCTGCAGTGGGACACAGAGAGCTTCAGTTAGTGCTTAATGTCTTACAGCAGTCTCACAGCAGAGAAAATAACATTGGCTGCTTTCTAAATCTAATCTTTGTCCCTCGCCAGACACCTGTCTAGGTGTTTACTCCAGCGCTGCTCTCCTCGTTTCCTCATCCTTCCTCACTCCGATGAAGCCGAAGACGAGGAGAGAAAGTCACCCTGACTTTGATCGTATGTACCCACACATAATCAAGGAAATGGAGATTAACATGCATGGCAGTCAGCGACAGTCCTCCAGAGGCAGAGCAGAGGGCTGATGGTGGTCCTCTACTCTTCAGATTGCACTGCCACAATCCACTAATAAAATCCCCATCCGTCATTCAGACTGGCCACAAAGAATTCAAGATTAATTATTTTTTTATTTTATTTTAGGATTTCTTTAAGTTGTCACCAAACGTTACTGCTATTTTCCTCCCAAATGCTTTGTGTGAGTAGAGCTCCTCGTCTGCAGGAGTTATCTCTGTGTGTGTGTGTGTGTGTGTGTGTGTGTGTGTGCGGCCACTGGAGCCATCAGTGATGGTCACTGACGGTTGATGCATTGCTTCATCTGACTGAAAGTTTCAAAACAAACACGGCAGACGAAGCGTCTGATTCATCGTCATATGAACCAGGTTTGGGGTTTGGAGCTAAAAATTGGGGCCGAATGTTTTGTTAATTTGAAAACCAAAATTGTAATTGAAAAAAAAAAAAAAAAAAAAACTAAAACATGAAATTGGAAACTTAAGGTTTTGTCTAAAACTTGAAAAACACAACCATATATTCAAACTAAAAATAAGTTTGTCGTTTTTTTCCAGTTCAACTAAAACATTGAGTTCATTCTTAAAAGATTTTGAAGAAATTATTTTCGTTCTTCACCTTTCCATATTTTGATATTTATTTTTTCTGTTTCACATTTAAGTTTTCAACTTCATTTTTTTATTTTATAGTTTTCTTCATTTTCAGTCTTATGGCCCTGACTTTGCGTAGGCGGCGTGTCTTCAAGATGGACATGGAATCAGGAATGACAGAAAGAAGAAAGAAGGCTCTCGTCAGCCATGTTGCCTTTAACGAAACATGGGCACTTTGAGAATTGTAGCTCAATGCTTTTCTATATTGGTATTAAACCAACTAATGCCAGAGACTAAGGTCACTTTAAAAAGCTTCTTTGGATAATAAGTGGCACTAATAACACTATGATAGCATTAAACTGTACAGTTTAAGAATGGATATTATCTGACATTTTATCACGGGGACATATGAAGAGAAAACTGGTCATAGCTGGAAAGCATTGCTATTGTTAGCATGAACTTAGTTAATGAGCATCTGAAGAAAAAACACTTCAAATCTACAGCTGATCTGTTTGAAGAAGGTTGGTTGGAAACATTTGATTGCTGTGAATGTTTGTTAATGTGCAGACTTTGAGCAGCCAGCCAAATCAATTTTACTTCAGTCCCATTTTAATCACATTTCATTGTGCATTTGATTTTAAATGAACCAAGCACCATTATTTAGGCAAACTAAATAAATAAGGAAAAAGGTTATTAAATATGAGACATTTCTATTATTTCTGTTATTACTGAAATTAGTTAAAGACTACAAATGGGAAAAGATAATGACAAAAAATGTGTTTGCAACTGTTTAAAGGGGGAGTTTTATGTATTTTCCAGACACAAAGTGCCATTTTAAAGCACAGTAGAGTATCTACATTACCTTCAACTGTTATGAAAATGCTATATATATCAAAATAACCCTGCATCATATCCTTATCTGACACCTTAAAATTGCCCTCTGTCTCTTTAAGAAGTTCTTGCCCTTTCTGACACTCCCTTGTGACTGAAAAGTAGTTTGTATGATGCGCAGTTCCACCAGGTGTTTGCTAATTGCTACAGTCGAGCTTCTGCCTCTCAGCTCCTCCAGACTAGCAGCAGCAGCTCGAAGGCGGAGCTTTGGGTAAATAGGCGGAGCTTCAGGCAAATGGCTGCCAAGGGAGATTCAAGGATTCCTCAAACATGCATGAAAGATTCAAAGCAGCATTTCAGGTAGAGTTTGGATGAGGGAAAAACATTAAAACAAGACAAAGCTAAAAAAAATTAAAGTTTTTCGTAATACTCCCCTTTTAAGTTCCTTCATCTTGCATCATGAATCTGACTTTTTTTTAATCTAAATAAATGAATACAGGTTTCATTTTTTAAATGTATTTATGTTTTGTCATGTTGGAGGTGCTCTTCTATACATACATCCAGTACTTTAAAGTTTAAGTCATTGTTTACAATGCAATAGCTTTTTTTAAAAAAATTAATCATTAAAACTAACTGATCAATTGAAGAAAAAAAAAAAAATAATAAATAAAAATTTTGAGTAGATTGATGCCCTGTCCAAAATGGCTCACTTCCAACTTCCCTCTGAGAGGCACAAACAAACTAAACACCTGCTCAAATACAATCTGTAAATATTATTTCTGCTGATATAAAGAACACCTTGAAATGGGCTGAGATTGTTTGATTTAGCTCAGTCTCCATGCTGCACGTTTGCCAAACAAACTGGTAAAAACCAGAACAGAGACATCCTGAAGACACGGGCGCTCTGCAGCAATGGCTCGTCCATTTAAATACAGTTTTGCCTCAGAAGAAACTTTAAAGGGCCCTGATGGTAGCGTTAGTTAAAATTGAAGACCGTTCTCTCCTCCAAGCCTTCCGCTGCTCTTTCCATCTGTCGGAGCTGGCATGGAGACAAATCTGCAGATTGTTCTCTCCCTCTAAGTCCATCTTCCTCTTGAATCTAATTGGTGCGGGATCTCTTTTTATGACAACAGTTAATCAGACAGCTTTGTTCGAGTGACAAAATAATGTGTTTAAAATGTCTGCTACGAATTTGGCACAATTAAAAAATAATTAGCTTTCAGAGAAGTGCCTTACATTTAACAGTTATTTTCTTTTAAAAGCTTTCCTTGCAACTAGTAAGCAACATGAGATGCAAAGTGATTTATTATGAAAAAAAACCTTTTCTAAGGTTTGACATGACTCATGCATCACCAATAGCCAATGAAGTATAGGTTTTTCCAACACTTTAATTACAGATTTTAAAACACGTTCTTTACTGATGTGAATGAAACAAATTTAAAATATTCTGTCTAAATATATACTTGAATACTTTCCAAAAGCAAAATGTGCTGCGTCTGTGCAACAACGCACAAGCTGAATGGAAATTTCCCAGCGAACTCTGACTGCACACAGTCGTCAAAACATGACGGGAAGAGTAATGACAGCCGGCGCATTTCACTGTAATCTCCATAAGAATGAATTTAACAAACAAATCTGACAAGCCCTACAAGGCAGATGCGTTTATTCATTTGAAAGAGCAGTAGATAAGCAGCAGAGTGATGCTGCATTTGGCAGATGATTGAGAAAGAACTCCATGAGAAATTATACTGAATGTGGCTTATTCAACGCAAACGTGGTTAAACTAAATGTCTTAACCGAAACAGGAGAGAGCAAATCTGGATTCAACTTCATTTCTTTCCATTTTGTTTTTAGGAAGCCAGAACTTTGTTCTTCATTCTTACTCATGGTTTTGACATGGTTTTTGGTTCTAGTTTCAAATTTATCAGCATCAACCTTGTGTTTAATTTAACAATTAAAGCAACAAACGTCAAGGAAAAAAATAGTGCAACAGGATGGAGGTAATAATATGAAATTGATCAAAAATAGAATTAAAAACTGAAATCATCTGGTGGCAGTTTGATTTACTATGATCATAAACACATTAGAGCGGTCAAGTTCACTCTTTAGTGTAGAAGTTCACGTCTCAAAATGAGCTATTTTCAATATCAGTGAGATGCTTAAAATTTAAATTTGAAATTTAAAGGTTTCATCTGAATGACTGAAACAAAAATACCCAATTTCTGCAATCTCTGTCCAGCAACATGCTAGATGTAATATTTCAGAAACCCCTAAAACAGATGAAAACATCTGTGTTTAACTTTTACAAAAAAAAAAAAAAAAAATCAAACATATTTCTTAGGTGCATTTGCACAAAAAAAAGTGGGTCCATTGCTCAACTTGTTATGGTCAATCAAGAGAAATTTGTATGAGATACCTGGCCAATAAGTTGGTCTGAGCAACATTTCTTCCAGCTTATGAAGGTCAGCTTTACTTTGGATATTAAGGCTTGTTGTCAAAAATACTCAATTTGTTCCAATTTCTTCAGATAATCTACAAATATCCT